AATAACATACGTTCTTTTATAAGACTTAGCAAAACTTTCTAGAAATGTTTACTGTTTAAAGGGTGATGAATTAAAAAAACACGAAAGATGGCTAGAGTATAGATCCATCAGCTATTGATCAACATCAGCGTATAAGAAACCAAGTAAAAGCAAAGAAAATATAAATCACACGAGTGGAAAGATATCAACCAAACTGAGACTCAAGAATAAGTCTATATTAAATATTCAAAAAGATAAATCCAAATTATATGAAAGGAAACATATTCAATATATTATACTTTGCTACTCATAATCGCTAGAATACTTTGTGTCTTGCTAATAAAAATACTTGAAATAACTTAGTTAAAGTATAAGTAGCATAATAGGTTTAGGAATTAGTATTTTGAGTTTAATTACTTGTTGGCTTGTCACAGTTTTCATAATTCCAAGGCACAATGAAAAATTTAATGTTTTATTAGTTTTAAACTTGTTATATAAATATTCCACTTGTAAAATTTATTCGGTACGGTTCGGTATTTTTTCGGTTTATCTTTTTATAAAATAAAAAACCTACCCTAATTATCGATACGGTTATACATTTATATAAAAACGTACGGTTTTTTTAAAAGAAACCTCAAAATCGGTTTGGTGGGGCACGGTTCGATCAGTTTAATCGGTTTTCAAATATCCATTGATACCACTAATAAAACATATGCCAAATCCGATTAAATGTTTTGAGATGTAAAAAAAGCGGGTAAAATGGATACATACGTTGAATAAAGCAGTGATGGTTATATTTTTAAAGTTCTAACTAGTTTGCATTAAGGACGTGAAATAATCTCCACACGATTTGTGAGCGAACATGGACATCTTCAAGTAAAAAAATGGATAACTTACCACATACCAGGTATACACACAGAAAATTTTCTAGCATGTTGGGTTTTCGGCCACGAGGTACATAGGTGCAGAGTATAGTGTCGAATCATATGCAAGAACTTATAGTGGTATTTCAAACCACTAGGTGATGCGGCTTATTGGCCATCGAAATCATTTGCGATAGTATGTGACAAAGCATTTTTATATCGAACCGGACTGCAAATGAAAGCCGGATTCACGATCGGATGGATATTGCGAATAGCACATACAGCAAAAAATATGGACTGACTGCGTAAATAGTACAGGATCGGCATAAGTATCCACTAAGTTGTCAAGATGGCATTTTAAGCCCTGGTGGAAGTTTCTCCAATGCTGGCATTTCACAGGCATACTTTTAGTGTGTTATTTGTATGAAATATGTATTAATTTTTGTGTTTGTAAACTCTATAATAATATTTGTTGTGTGAGTTGTTAAGTAAAGGTGTTTGCATTCCAGATGACGCATTAATACACGATTGTTTATTTTTTTTCATGAAAATAACTACAAACATGCAAGATTAAATTTATCGCAATGTATTGCCACCTATTTATTAACTTCCTCACTGCCAGGAACTACTGTATCCTCATCTATTTCGTCGTCTCTGTCATCATCATTGTCTACATATTCATCTGGGCTAAGAGCATCATAATTTAGCCCCTAATTGTCACTAAGGGATGAATAATACCATATTACTTATCATCCCACATATCAGTATAATAATCTAGCATATTTATTTCAAGATAGGGTTTGATACTATTCACTTTCTCACTCATTCCATACAGATTTTTTGAGCTACCTTCGTCCTTTTTATTTTTCTTATATCAACTTCTCAACTAGAGAATAAATTGTTGAATGTGATTTGGGATGCAGTTATGATGGCCAAGATTCCTATAGTATTATATGTATAGCGCATGTATTAATATGCGCTACGTAATGGGTAGGAAAATTCTCGTAGCAGGTATGTCAGAAGATGTACAAATTAATGGCGGACCTTGTCTTGTCATACAGAAAAAGTGAGTCACGATGTTATAGTACTAAGATTCTCGTAGGTCTGACAGAAAATATACTAACTAGAGGTGTGCCTTGTCTTGTATTGTCCAATTAAAAAGGTAATTATGTACTTTCACTGTTATATTTCTTGTATAGTAAATACTATAATTACGGTAAGTACGATTTAAAGAAATATGTGTAGTATAAATAGTGATGATGTGTACCAAAAAAATATTGCAATCCGTTAGTTATGTCAGAATGGAACCAGTTCTTTCAATTAAATCGAAAATTTTTGTTATATCCTAGAGACATGTTTAGAGAAATGGCTAGGACTTAGGCATTGGAGGAAGAGTTCGACTAGTTGAATAACCCAGACGAGAGTTATAATCAAAGTTATTACAATCAAATAATATGTGAGTGGTACTGGTGTGTTAATAAGGCTGCAGGACTAGAACAAGAGTTGCAAGCATATGGGCTTAAACAGCCAAGGAGCCGTGCTCGATCAATGTCGTGTAGTATAGCTCAACAATTTAATTTGGCCTTGAACCGTATTTGTAAGGAGAACAACCGTATGAAAATGTCATGATGATTACGTCGTCACGTCTTATTAGGATCCTGACAACGAAATGTCAGATGATGATACGTTTTGATAACCACAATAGACGTATGAATTCCACGTTTTAGTGATGTTGTGCACTACATACTATTTTGATTCTATTATTTTTACTATATAAGGATGATTTCGTTCCATAACATTTAAAGACAAGTAACATCGTCAATTATGTCATGCAGAGGAAACATTGATAGGTCAGTATTCTTCCTAAAAGACCCGAATGCTAGTGATGAAGATAACTCTAATCAAGACAGATACACTATTGATTCATCGCATGATAACTGTTACGCAACGCCTTCCTGATGATCTTTGGAAGGGCAACGTAAGGCTAAGCAACCGATGTTAGTGCGGTTGCTGTCCGCCAATGAGGTCCTCGCCGCACGCTAGACTAGATTGTCAGTGCCGTGCGGGAAAACCAATGTCGTAAGCAAATTGCGGAAGCTGAGAGAGAATTGGGTTTTGAATGCTGATGATGATTTTATTGATGACTGAAAATGATGATTACAATGATGTGGTGTCGAGGGGGAGAGACACCAGAAAATGCTGATTGAAATGTTTGATTGTTTGGTCCCCCTTAATAATGCTTAAAAAAAATAAACCAACATTACAAGACTAGTCCTAATAAAGCTGTAGAAGCACACTGAAATGAAAATGATG